ATGCAATGATTTGCAAATCCTTTTCAACCTATTTTCAACTGAATACACTACAATGACAAAATATTTAACGTTCAAATGATTAAACTTTATTGTTTTTTTTTGCAAGCAACCGCATRTTTTGAATTTGATGCATGCAAGAAAAGACTGGGAAAGTTGAAAAATAAAACACTTGTTTGGAGCATTCCACGGGTGAACAAGTTAATTAGAAACAGACAAGTGCTGCGATTGGGTATAAAGAGAACATCCTCAAAAGGCTCGGTAACTCACACGCAAGGATGGGGCGAGGTTCGCCACTTTGTGAACAACTGTGTGAGCAAATAGTYCAAYAGTTTAAGAACAACGTTTCTCAACACATAGTTGCAAAGAATTTAGGAATTTCATCATCTAGAGTCCATAACATCATCAAAAGTTACAAAGAATTGGAACAATTCTCTGCAAGTAAGCAGCATGGCCGGTAAAYGTGTTAAGTTGCAGACATAAAATTCAAAGTGAGTGAATATTTGCAAAAATAAAGTTTACATTATGTATGTGAACAGTAAATATCTTGTCTTTGAAGTGTTTTCAACTGAATATATGTTGAAAAGGATTTGCAAATCACAGTTTTCTGTTTTAATATATGTTTGACACATTGTCCCAACTTCACTGGAATTGGGATCGTAGTTCAGTTATTCTGAAGCAGGGTTCTGCAGAAAYGTTTTGAACAAATAACGTCGTAGCAGTTATAAATAGCTTTTTGAATCACATAAGTTTGAAGATACCGAGCTTCAGTTCAGCATGACTGAAGAGCTAAAGGCTACTCAGAGTGCAGCTAGAATCAAAGTGAAATGATGTTTTCTTACAACTCTGATTTAAAACTAAYAAAGCAAACAACCTTTAATAGACCTCCAAACCACTGTCAGTATTTGTATCACAGTTATTCTTGCAAAAATAAAACTTTCCCACTGGAATTACCCAAATTAGCATCAGAAGTGCTACAGYTAGCTGCTGCTGGTGGCGTCTTGTGCCTGCAAATCTGAGTGAATAACTACATTACAAAGTTACCAACAAAATAAAATAAAACTTTAAATATCAACAACTTAGTGAAAATTAAACTACTTCTTGTGATTGAAGCAGGTAAGATATTTTTTCACAAAACCCCTTGTCGAAATAACAAACTCTTTCTTTAACTAAAAACAGCCTTTTCTAAACTGGAAGCACAACTGCAGCAACAGTTCTGTATTTCATGCATGTTTCATTCCCTGTTCAGGATGGTTCAAGACTCAGAAATTAGAGCTGTACCAGACTGAAGATGAGTAAAACAATAAAACACTAGAAATTTATCATTATAGTGCAACAAATGTAACAGTGGTAACTTTATATCAGAAAACTGTAACATCTGCAACAAGTGGCAGCRTTTTGTAGTATTGCTTTTACTTGAAAATAAAAGAATATATGCAGATGTTTTTCACATTTCTGTCCTCATTAAAATCTATATACAACTAATGTTCAGACAGCCAACAAAATCCATACATTATAACTTCTTCAATGCTGTGTTTACACAGTATTCTCTGACATACAGTATCTTTCTTTGTTAGTCTCTCTTTTAAGAAAACACAAACTCAACACATTCTTATGTGTGTAAGAAAACAAGAGCAGCAAATGAACAGCAGAAAGTTAAGCTCCTTCAACGAAACAGTCACACATCTGTTAAAAGTTAACAGCTGAGGAAAAGGACCCGTGCCATAAAAAAAACACTTCAAGGTATTATGCCAATATCTCCACAAATGCATCACGTTTTGGTGGGGTTAGTCACATAAAATGAGCAAAAATAAGTAAAAAGAATCCTCATGGGACATATTTACCTGTGCACAGACTGTRACCAGAGCAAAGAGAGACACGGCAGCTTACAATTTACCAACGTATAACAGTGATAACACTGAGAAATCATTAACTCTGAGGAGTTCATCCCTTTTTCTTATGTCATCATAACAGTCAGGTCAACTGGAAAATAACTACAGCATTGTGGTGCTATGAAAAACAAGGCTGCCTGTCTATTTTTATATAGCTTGCATAAAAAGTTGTCTCCTCTAGATTTGTCACAATGTGTCTGTATGTTGTTTTTTTATTACATTTTAGACCAGACTAGTGGCACTTTTTATTAATTTATTTATTTAGCAGTTTGGGTGTGCCCTTGTTTTCTCTACCTAGTGTGTGTGTGTGTGTGT